TTCAAACAGCAACAAACAATTTTCATTACCCAAGTCAGATCAAATCATTCGCCTGGCCATCCTGCCTCAATCCCAGCCACACAAACAGGCCCTAAGTCTCAGGCTTGCCCATTCCACTCTGACAGCACTGGGCTCCATTCTTCCTTGGGCTCTGGGGACAGACAAAGCTCTTTCTTTCCTTTATTCGAGCTGGGCTGCTGCATGGCTGTCAAGACTAACAGGAGGAGCGGGTAGGCTCACACACCTCTGCAGTGGGGCCCACTCAGCTGCGGCCCAGCAGGCTTCTTAGCACCTGTGTGAAGAGGCAAAGGCTTGCTGGACTCCGTGCCTGAGTGTAGGAGGCGGCCACCAAGAAAAGCCTGGCTCATCACCAGAGTACTCACTGGCCTCTGGTGCAGTGTCTGTACTTGACGTTTCTTTGTTTAATCTGTCTTGGCCAGACATTTTTTTTTGGAACCAAGAATGTATAAACTCATTCTGAAATGTCTGTATGAGAGGTCAGTTACACATTCATTACTGGGATTTTTCTATCTTCTGACTTCTCTTAAAACAAGACAAAAACACTTCACAATCTTCTTTGAGCCTCAAAATAACCCTGTGGGTGGACAAGGCAAGAGTGGCCCGGTGACGAGGACACAGGCCTGGGGTGCGGCGCCCGTCCAAGGTCACAGGATGAAGGGTTGAGAAGCTGGCTCAGCACACTCTGACACCTTTCCCACCGCCACTGAGTGCCAGGCATTCCAAGAGGCGTCACCCTACAATCCTTTACTTCCACGGTAACTCCTTGTCCCCTTGCACGTCATACGGTGCTAAGAACCAAGGGCTGGAAGGGCCCTCAAGGAGATTTTGATCTACAGTCACCCAAGTGCTTGCCTTGCCATGCCCCCTACCAAAGAGAAAGCCCCTCCTGCCTTCTCATGGCTCAGATAAAGACTGGAAAGTTCCCTGGACATGGCAGATACAGTAAGCACTGGGGGAAATTGCTGCTTATGCCCCTTCAGTACAACACTGTAGTGTCTAGGGCACCTACCATGCTCCCCTCCACTCACCACATGCAAAGGCCTCTTCACTTAACTTATGAGTCTTTCTTTTTATAATTCTGCAGTGCAATTTGTAAACTGTGAGATGCATAGGTAGTAAGTATACAGCTTGGCAAGTTGTAACCAATGTATTCCTATACTAGAGATACAGAGAATTTTCATCTACCCAGAAAGTCTCTGTCACCCTTATTCAGTCAGACCCACCCGCAGTGTCCACTGTCTTAATTATATCACATAGATTAAACACCCAGAATCCTATCATAGCTATCTGCGTGAATACAAGGAATTTGTCGGCATCTACTGCTATCTTTCGTTTAGTGTGATGCCTGTCCGCTTCACCCAAGCTGTGTCAGTAGTTTGTTCTTGTTCAAAAAGCAAGTACTGAAAAATGAAATCCTAAAAAGTTCTGGTAAGTAACTGGAGCTGGAAAAAATTATACTGAGTGAGGTCACCAAGGCCCAGGAAGACAAACGCCGCACATTCCCTCTCATAGGCTGATCCCAGTTTCAAATCATCTGTTTTGTATGTTTAACTCAGAGCACAAGTGGAAGCCAGGAAACTAGAAAGGGCCATTTGCTTTAAGGGAGAGGGAGAGACTATAAATAAAACAATAGCAGAGAACACTGGGGGGCGTGGAAAGGCTTAGGCAGGAAGGGGGAACGAGGAGGGGCAACCCCAGGAACCCGGCATGAAGAAGCCATGTGGAACCCTACTGTCTCACAGACAGTTCGGAATTATAATTGAAGGGGACAGTAGAACACATGTGATATGAAAGAGGATGGCAGAGGTGTAGGAGGGGATGACACACTGGAGGTGAGGGTTTGAACTGGGACAGGGCTGGGTGGGGGAAGGGAAAGGAGTTAACCACAACTAAGGATATGTGGAAACCCACTAGTATGTAAGTTCATATCAATTACATTTTTAACAAGGTGGTCAAACGTAAGTACCCTGCACGGATGGAGAATGTAGCTCCAAATCTATGGGTTATTAAATAAAAATCACAGCACAAGAGGCATGGAATACCTCCCTAGGAGCTATTAGTCAGGGAGGCTCCAGAGGTCTCCAGAAAAGCTCAAGCTATTGCCTTGCTCTTGGTCTCCCATCGTAACTTCATGGTAAGAGCCTACTGCTGAAGACAAAACACACTTAGCTGCAGGACATAAATCCTCAAATGTCCTCCTTGCTGGTCAGCTTTCCCAGTGCTGGAAGGAGCTATGCAGGCTGCTGCGGGGGTGGGGATGGGGGATGGGGGGACATAAATGGTTTTACCCAGCACCAGACCCTGAATGCTATAATCCTAACCTGATGGACAAAATGTGCCCACTGGTGCCCAATACACAAATGACTGCTGTGGGGCAACTAACTGCTTTGTTTGTTTGTTTGTTTGTTTGGTTTTGGTTTTCTGAGACAGGGTCTCTCTGCATAGTGTTGTGTGTAGATGTTCCAGTGCAGGAAGGCCACCCATTGATCTGTAAGGAAGCCTAATAAACTCATTGATTTCCCAGAGTGAACTCTGGTGGAATTGTACTTCAGTTTACCACTGAGATCTTAGGAGGAAGAGTGGACTTCATGTCTCCCCTGTAGGTAAGGGATTTCAACAATACTGGTACACTCTTGAACTTATGGCACCTGGGGTTACCTGCACAAGACCAAGCCAAGCAAAATTCTAGAATGGATGGAAGAAGTACTCAAGAGGCTCCCACCCCTGAGGTGCTATTGAGAGTTGTTAGTTAGCTTCTGGGGGAGGGGAGTCATTCTTCTTTTGGGGTGCGGGCAGGGATAGGTTGCCCCTGTTCTAGTGGATAACCCCATAGCCATGCACACAAGGCAGCGCTAATTGGACTTAGTCGTTATTTATAAGGAGGAGGGGAGAGGAGGAGGAGGAGGATGAGGAGGTATAGGGGAAGAGGAAGAAGAAATTAAATAGGAAGGGTAGTGTTTTGAGGGAATCCAAACGGAGATGGAAGGAGTCAATGGGAAGTGATATGATGATATTTCATTGTATATGAGTGTGAAATTCTCAAGAAATAAAATTTAAAAAATCTGTTTCTTAAAAGACTTGAGAGATACAGTAGGGTAACACTAAAGTGAAGTGACACATTAATTTGGAAAGTTGGGTGGGGGGACTTTGGGAAGCTTTGGAGAAAGTAGATATAAACTAGCTGATAACTTAATAATAGTTCACTTGAAATAAGTCTTGTTAGTATATGTAAAGCCATCTAAATTCTTGCTAACTTGTCTCTTAAGATGCTTTCTATCAGGCTGGAGAGATGGCTCAGAGGTTAAGAGGACTGACTGCTCTTCCAGAGGTCCTGAGTTCAATTCCCAGCAACCACATGGTGGCTCACAACCATCTACAATTCAATCTGGTGCCCTCTTCTGGCATGTAGGCAGAACACTGTATATGTGATAAATAAATCTTTAAAAAAAAAAAAGATGCTTTCCATCTGTCCTGTCTCCTGCAGGCTCGAATATCTCTCCTCCATCTTTCCCTGGCCAGTCTTGCTGTGGCAGGTGCATTATCTTATCTTCAGCACTAGCAGGACAGCCCAGCCGGGATCATGAACACGGGAAGGCTTCAGAGGTCTGGGTTTGCATTTCCAGTCTAGCACATAGCAGATGAGTGGTTTGAGGCAGGTAATTTCACCTCTCTGTGACTGTTTCCCATTTGTAAAATGAGGATAATAATACTTTGCTAATAGGGATTTGGGAGGACTCAATTACATTGTACATAAGACGCTTGGCACAATGCTAACTAACAATCGCCTCAAGCTAGACTATAATAAACACCTTCCTGCCTCATTCACACACTTCAGTTTTTGTAAGTCATATATCAATGGGTATATATTTTTCAAAGTCTTTTTCTCCTTTCTTTTTTGGGGGGATAGGGTCATGCTATGTAGCCCAGGCTAGATTTGAATTCTTTTTGTTGTTGTTGTTGTTTTGTTTTTTCAAGACAGGATTCCTCTGTGTAACAGCTCTGGCTGTCCTGGAACTTGCTTTGTAGACCAGGCTGGCTTCGAACTCACAGAGATCCACCTGCCTCTGCCTCCCAGTTGCTGGGATTAAAGGACTGCACCACCACCGGGTTTATTACACTCGTTTTTCTCAATGACGCAACTGAAGGGCAAAGAGTTTTAGTTAACTTGTCCAAGGTTATGTAGTTGGCAAACAGCAAATGCTACAGGAAAAAAAAATACAACCATTTATAAAACGTCGGAAACAGCAAGACTTTAATGAGAATCAAATATTGGAGAAAATGCTTTTAGAACAAAACCTAGCACAAGGATTTTAAATAAACCTAATTATTATGATGATTCAGAAATATCAGTGAATATTGAGTACTTGGGTGTTAACATAATTGCTGTGATGACTCAGAAATAACAGCAAATACATTCTATGCATGACCTTCAAAGAAGACTTGGAAAGGCAATGTTGTAAACGTAGCCCTGAAGAGTGGATAGGAGGTGGAGGGGTATGAAGTGGGAGGGGGTGAGGGGTTAAAAGGGAGAGAAATAAAAAACCAAAAACAAAAAACTTAAGGCCGGGTGGTGGTGGCGGCGGCAGCACACGCCTTTAATCCCAGCAAAGGCAGGTGGATCTATGTGAGTTTGAGACCAGCCTGGTCTACAGAGAGTGTTCCCGGACAGCCTCCAAAGCTACATAGAAACACCGTGTTGGAAAACAAAACAAAGAAAAAAGCGGGGTTGGATGAGAGTAGTTTTGATGGGGGGAATGCTTCCTCTCCGGTGTATCTCTCATCAGCGCAGAGTGCTGTCCTCACCTTGCAATTAACCACTGACCAGTATTTCGGATCGCTTCCAAGAGCCTCTTCGCAATGAAATAAGCATCCTCTCCACACACCACCGAGGCCGTGGACAAAGACTGCAGTCTTTCCCCATGTGCCCTGATAAATTTTAATGCCTCCAGCAAACGGACGGAGGCCCTTCTCTAACTTACCATCCCAGCCGTGTCTCTATGCTCGCCGCACTTCAGCCTCAACATCTGCCACAGGCGCTTATGGAAAGATTGCGCCGGGACTCGGCTTCTGTGCTATTTCGCACACAGAAGCTTCCCCACCCTGAAGGGCAGCTAACAACGTTTACCCCGAGGCCAGGGTTCACACTACCCGCGGCGCGGGCACCAGCCGGAGCCGGTGCTCGCTGCCAGCCTGGGAGGAAGCGGAAGGGCTGCGCGCGGCGCCGGGCCGCCATCTTGGCCGAGGGCGCCGGAAGCGGCGAGCACGGACTGCGGCTGCGCGGCCGTGAGCCGGCGTGGAGCTCGCCGCGACCTCTCGATGCTCCCGCCGCCGCCGTCCTCCCTGGCCTGTTCGCGCAGTCTCCGGGGTGGCTCACCCGGCACCGCCTGCCCGAAGGCAGGTGGCTGAAGCCTGAGAGTGGGACAACCCCGCCTCCTCCCGCCGAGGTCGAGCCCGGGACCTGGCCGCCTCCCAACGCCAACTGATCAGACTGCTGCGTGCCTGCTCGGTGCAGCTTCTGCGAGTGGAGGACAGGAAGAAGCGCCTCATCACACGCTTCCAAGACGGCGAAACACCGGAAGATCGCCCTAAGGCCGCACAACGTCGCGGTACGTCCTTGCTTTCCAGCTGAAACAGATTCACCGCCAGTACCGCACTTAACATCTTGGCCATCGGGTTAAAACCTCTTGATGGGTGGAGCAGGCTCTGGGAAGAGATGGCTCCAGATTAGGTCTCTTAGCGATAGTCATGGGTCTTATCTACATGAAAGGTAATGATAGCTCCGGGGAGGCTCAGTTCTGGGAACTGCTGAGTCGTCGGGGGGGGGCGTGCGTCCATCAAAGCATGGGTACCGAGAAGGCTTATTATGGGAAGTTTTGTTCAGCAGCGGTACCTTAGTTATAGACAGGTGCCTTGCACCAATTCACCGGAATATGAATACCCTTGGAGTTCCCGAAGCAACCTGGAAATCACCAAGATGAAAGCCCTGGGGTTCTCGGCCAGGCTTCGGAAGAAAGAACCGCAGTGTTGTCCGGAACAGTAACGAGGTCAGCAGAGCCAGAGCCAAGCCTAATTAGAGCCGCGCTTCACTGCTGGTGAGGGCAGGAGGAAGGGTGGCCACTGAGGGCATGCGTATAAGAAGTGTCATTTTCTGAGAAAATTGTGGAACTTTAGTTTTTAGATCTTGTATCTTGTCAGGTTTTGTTACTTTTAATATAGTAAATTTAATATATTAAATTGCTATTTATAAATGAGGCCGTTCTCTTTCCTATAGAATTTTGTTGTAGAATTTTGCACATTTTGTAAAATGAATTGAAAAACATTGCATTTGGGATCCTGAATGCATTATGCAGCACTATAATGCTGAACTTGATAGCTTGAAGGACCTCACCAGGTTGATCTGGTACCAGGGTGGGAAAACTTATTTGATGTCGAGCCTCTAACATTTTTTGTGTTCTATTAAAAAAAGAAGAAGATTGGTATGTACTTCTATTTGCTTAGCTATTATGGTGACCCAGAAAGTGAAAATACAGTAAATGAGAAGCGTATCCTGGTACACTTAATAAACTTGTTGAGCATCAGAGTTTCAGGCATTTGGGGATAGGACGGGTAGAGTAAAGAAACGGGAAATTACAATACAGTGAATGAAAGCTTCAAAGGGATGTGTAATCTAGCTGAGGTGGTTGCAGGAGGCTTGCTTGAGGTTACTTTAGTAAATCCCCTCAGACTTTGGAGATGGAGGACTTGGGGGTGGTACAAAAGTGTTGTAAGATCGGGCTGGAGAGATGGCTCAGCTGTTAAGAGCACTGGCTGCTCTTCCAGAGGTTCTGAGTTCAATTCCCAGCACCCACATGGTGGCTCACAACCACCTTGAATGAGATCTGGTGCCTTCTCCTGGCACACAGCAAGAAGACTGTATACATAATAAATAAATAAAATATTTAAAAAAAGAGCACTGATCATTCTCAATAACAGTACTCGCTGGGAGCTCTTGTTTCATAGCGGTAGGTTATAGAGCACAACGATCGTGACCATGATCAGTCTGGCCCTCACTACCTTCCTTCGCTCAACCTCTATAAGGGTCCCTCTTCTAGCAAAGCTTTCAGAGGCCAAATAATGCCTGAAATATTATATAGGAAATGGGAACCCATATCTCTTCCTGCCAAGAAGCTCCACTTCAAGACCTGTGCAAGGCACCGGGAAGCCCCGTGCTTTTGTTGTGGAGACATTAGACACCCATGGAGATTATCCTGGCCTCTGCAGTATAGACCACCTGCCTTCGCTCTAGGAATAAATACTTTAGAAAGTCCAAGTGGGGAACGAAAGGTGTGGGACCCACTGGAGATGGGCATTAGGGAACTGGGTCCTTAAAGTGGCCATACTAGTAGAGCTGTTTTCTGTTTATCACAAGTTTTCTTCTACCATTTGTGTTCAAATAACATGAAGTATGGTAAGGTCAAGGAACACATTTTAGGACACAAGGTCAGGGATTCAGTGAATCAGATTCAAATCAGAATAAAATCTGTCAGTAGGCAGTTTGCTAATGATTAAAAATGGCCCCTGAGTAGTTTGTAATTCATGTGGAGATGACCTTGCTCGGTACCAAGTTAATTAAATGGGAAGATTGCCTTTGCCTTTAAGGAGCAATACTTTCTCCCAGGCAGAGGTCAGATTCTGCCTGCAGACGGAACCCAAGTCTCCTGTAACTAAAACTCCAGGGTGTTTCCTCCTAGCACAGCATCCCCTTTCCTGGCCATCAGTACGCTGTGTGGGATTTCAGTTATCGCATCTCCAAGAACAAGTGAGTCATGTGTAGTTACCTTCAGTTGCCACTCAGTCTTTCAAGGTCTGAAGTAGAATAAAAGCACTCTGAATTTTACTGGTGACAAACAAGGTCACATGTATGAAGACACGGCAGAGACAAGACTAACAAAAGTACCATTCATGAAGCATGTTCCCGGCCAAAGGTATTTTCCACTACTTTTTACAAGCACACCGTAACGTATCACTAAATATCTACATTTTAGATACACTAATGACAGTAATGCCACTTACTCAATTGCCAAACAAGCCAGCTCTTTTATGCTTCCCATGTTTGTAACCATCTTAAGGGGAAGATAGGATCTTGCCTGCACACGAAAGCGGAAACAACAGAGCTCTCCCAAGTAGCCTGAAGTCTTAGTCAAGAGTTCGCATTGTTGTAGAGTTTCTCCCTGGAACTCCTTCCAGTCTTGGGTGTCGTCACCAGACTCATCTTTCTTTAAGCATTGCAGTGTTTCTGGAGATACGAACCTGGACTCTTGTCGCTAAGGTAATTACAATAAGGTGAAAATGGGCAAAATAAAGTTGGGTGTTATCGGGCAACTTCGATCCCAGCTGTGGATACTTTCAGTGTTAGCAGTGTCACATAGAATATGTAGTGTTGCTCAGTCTTAGCTTTGCCCTCGTTTTGACCGTGGTTCCTCGGTCTTTAGTCTCCTGTTTCTAGTAAGCCCCAAATTAGTCTCTCATGCCATTAAACAACAGTAATATTTGAGGCCTGTAAACGTGATTCCCAGTTCCCAGATGGTGGTAGAAAGGCTGGCAGAACTTGTGTACCCTTGCCTCAGGATGAAAGACCTCCCATGTCACAGATCCCATCATCAACTTTTCAGAAGGACTAAGAGATGGCCTCAGGGTCCATGTGTGCAGCAGATACTGGCCACAGCAAGGGCAGGAGATGAAACCCGTTGTTCATGGTCATTCACGTGAGTGGGAAGAAGAGCATGCCAAGTACAGCTAGGACACAAAGCCAGTAGAGGAAACTGAAAGCAGCGGCAGCTTTCATACTGGACAATGGGAAGATACCTCAGCCAAAAGAACTCTTAACAGGGATTTATTTAGTGGTGTTGGGATTGAACCCCATACCTTGGGCATGCCAGGTAAGCAAGCTACCACTAAACTACATTCCCAGTCCCCAGAGACAGTATCTCAGCATGCAGCCCGGCCTGGCCTGGAGTTTGCTCTGTAGCCCATGCTAGCCTCAGACTCCTTGTCCGTGTTGGGATTACGGGTGTGGTGCAACACCCAGCTCTTCAGGGATTTTGATGCCAGAGTCAGGACTCAACGACCTACTGGAGCTTGCGTAACAGGTGTTTGGAAACAGCCTCAGGTTGACTGCAGCTGTCCCAAGATCCAGCAGGCACACGGTGCCCCAGAGGTGGCCGCTCATTTGTAGCTCATGCAAGTCAGGCCTCAATTCATAGGCCCAACCCCAGTTTCCACTTGAGGTAATTATTTTTCATGCCTTGGTCATGGTGGCAATTGATACTTATGTAAATTATACCTCAAATTGTGCAGCCCAGCAAAGATGGCAACAATTACCTCCCGGCAGAAACAAGCATAATAAGGAAGTTGGGTATCCTGAAAAGTATCCTGATCAAGGCCTTTTAGAAGTCATGGCCATGTGACCTTAAACAAGGAATCCTATTCTCCCTGCAGATCCAGGAAACAGTTTAGTGGATGATTGAAGTAGGGGGTCAGTGAAATCCATACCCCACACTCCAGTCCACCGACTGAAATCAGACGTGGGCCGCCTCCCAGTCAGTAACGATAGCAGCTAGCGTTTGCTAAGCCCATGCGCCAGGCGTGTACTGAGAATGATAAGCACATGGTCTCATGCATCCGCACAACAGCTCTGCGAGGCAGATTCCGCACTGTCAACATTAAGATCCTGTAAGGAAACCACGGGAAAGAGTATTTCCACAATTCTCTCAATACTTGAGTTGAATGCCTTGGCTACTTAGTAAGGTACTGCTCATTACAACTTGAGCATCTGGACTGGGCTGGGAAATAGAAGCAGTGAGCAGTGTCAGGTATCTGGCAAATGGGCTTCTCTGGTTGAGGACTCTGGTGGAGAGGGAAGCCTGCTTTTGAGGGATGATGCCCCCAGGCACCTCCAGACCTGCTGTTGGCCTGGTATCATTGTTGTGCGGTAGGAGCATCTACTGCCTGAGCCACACCCAAAACCAAAGTAAAAGGCAGACCTCTGGCCCCTGAACACTTACATCTACCCCCACCCCTGCTTGGTCCAAGGACACGTTGGCCTCAGCTGGGTTGCCATCTC